AGTGGCTCTTTAACCCTTTCCTTGGATAACGAGCTTCCTCACTTGATCTCAGAAACTCAGTCCATTCTTCCTCTGGATGAAGCTACTTTCAACCTTTTGCATCCTTGTTCTTTCGGTCATGTATCATTCCTTCATAACGTGGAAGGAACGGTTAATTAGGAGCTTTGCAGACTTTCCTTGGCGAAAAAGAGCCGGGATCCAAGTGGAAAAAGGGTCCCCGTGTTCTCGCACACCTCGCACTTCTTGCTGGTCCAACTTTCAACAATGGCGGTCATACAAATAAAACAAGCCGGTAAGGTACCCAACAGGAAATACGCAAAGTGTAGAGCAGATGTAGATTTGACCAACTGTCTGCGGTACTGTCTGCGGTCACCTACAATTTTAGAGAGGTGCGGCGGAGTGTCTGCGGAAGGGGCGGAGGCACATCTGCGTTCAATGCGACACACAAGTAGACCTGGTTTTTGAGTATAAACCAGCCTTAGCGCTGTCTCTGCTTGCCTGGTAAGTTTTAGGTGGACGGTCCTTGGAGGTTCGCAGTCATATCAAACCCTTTCAAATTCCAGACAATACATTAAACTTGAGATTGTTTTCTAACCACACTTTCACTAATCTACAATTTAGGGGATTTTATAAGACGACCATTTGCACCAGTTTATCAACAGCTAATAAACTAAGATGGGTTGGAAAAGAAATGCATTTGATCTGTGAAATACTTTAAAACATTTCCTCCTTTCACAGTGCTTTCTTTTCACACAAAAAATCTGAATAGTTTTGGGTTTTAGTGCAACAAATAGGTATGAATACTTTACAAGAAATGCTGCCTTACATTTGTCCACCCAGGCCACTCAGGGGGGATCCATTTGACCCGAACTTCTAATGCGAACCAATTAGGGTCTTTACATGCCTGCGCAACCAACGTGAAGCTGAATATCCCTTAATACCAGTTAAATACACCTCCCTGTTGCTATAATACACCTACACACGCTTATCGCGGTGTGCTGTGTGATTATGCGCCGATATAAAGCCTTCCTCAGAGTCTCGCTGAATGAGCTATCTAATGGGCATGGGAACTAATTCCAGGGCAAAGGGGATTAAAGGCTAAAGCTGGGGGAGCAGCAGAGGGCTGGCACTCTCTGGCAGCTCAGAGGGCGGAAAAATAGAGATGATGTATAAATGCACAGAATCCTTGCCTCCTGAATCCTATTTTGCAGAATAGTATTAAAACTGGCATTTCCTTTAATCCTGACAGTTCTATATTTTCAAAAGGGGAGGGGAGGGGGGATCAAATATTAAATGATTCATCGAGGAAAAAAAAGAAGAGATATTGCATAAATAAAAATATAAAGCCTCAGACTTTACATTTTTTGTGTGCGTTTTTCTTAAACATGATGCATCTTAAAACGTGTAAATAATGAGCGAAGTTGTTTTGGTCGACAACTTTACATTTAAGAAATAAGGCAGCAGCAACAGGTCCAACACCTTCACCCTACCCTGCAGCCTCAAGATGTTTATTAAAAATGGTGTCCAGTGATGCAAAGCTAAACTGTGGAGCCTGATCTATACAGCCTGACTCTGATAGACCGCTATCCCACAGGACGCCAATGCTAGAAGAAATCTGTTTTTCTTTCAGCTTCAATAAATGTTAAAGTGGAGAAAAAAAAAACACAGCATATGTGCACAATTATTCACATAATTACACCACTGAAATGTCTTTAAATAGGTTTTCTGTTTTCCCTACGAAGCGCTTCTTCACACATGCATTAGGTATGTTCCTTCAGAAAGAGGTTCTTCGAGCACCTATGGGTGCCGGTATTATGAAGGGACTGTTGTCATGCCAGCAGCACTTTGAGCTGAGGGATACAGGTCCATAAATAGCCTAACCTGCTGTTCAGTTCCATTCAAACACAATTACAGGAAGCAGCTCTTTAAGTTGTCCTATAGTTGAGGAGAGAAAGCGTAAATCACCACGTTCAGTGACTCAAAGCATGGAAAAAAACATGTGGATAGCTCATATCTCTTACACTTATAGACCAAATGTTGTGGAACGTGTGGATTCTCTGCTCTCTACTAGTTGGTAATTTGACAGGCAGAGAAGAATCTGAGCTTAAGGCAATTTTACATTCTAGTAAAGGATAATGGGGAACATTCGGGGGCTAAGAGTCTTGCTCAGAAAGCCAGATTCCCAGGCTGTAGGTTTTTATCTGATTATTTCAATATTCAAAAATACTTTTTTCAACCCAAATGGTATGCTGGTGAATACTCTCCATCATCCAGGTCATAGGCATTCCACTGGTGCTTTGTTTACAAGTTTGAAGACGTTTTGCTTCCCATCCGCTAAGCTTTTCCAATTCAAATGTCATGGGCCATGCGTCTGTGGAGAAGTTGGCCCACGCAGAAGAGCGACCTCCTCGGGACAAGACGCAAATGTTCATTTTTTGAACAAAGAAAATAGGGGGTTTGAGAGTGGTGTGAAGGAAGCCATTGATGTTAACAAAGAAAAACCAACCTTAAAAAGAGGGGGTTTAGCTCAGGTTTCAGCTTTAAAAAACCTACAATGCAGCAATTGAGTTGATCCCTTCCTGCTATCATCGCAGCCCAAACCCCTGTACAGGAGAAGGAAGACCTCGCCTATTCAGTCAGGCCAACAATTCCCTTTAACGACCCCCCTTTCAGAGACATAGACAGGCATGGGGTATTGCCGGCTAACAAAAGAAGCCAAACAACCCCCATTCCAAAGGGGTGGAGCCGTTCATCCATTTCAATTTGCAGGTTTATACAACAAAAGCAAGGTTGTGTTGGGCTACTGTATAAAAGCCTTGAACTCAACCATATTTTTGAAATTTTGAATTGAAAAAGCTTCCTGGATGGGAAGCGAAATGTCTTCAAACTTGGAAACAAAGTCCAGTGGATTGTTTTTAATTTTCTTTTTTGAAATGTTGTGGTACTTCATGTGTTGTTTTTTCAACAAACTGATGTATCCCAACCTATAATATGATTTATTTATCAATCTTTTTGTAAAACAAAATACCTCACAATGTGTAGATCATAGCATCATGAGTCGGTTTGAATAATAATTGTGTCGTTTTAATGGGGCTGACATCTCATTATTGCTGCTTATTAAAGGCATACTATGCAACATTTTTCAGTTAATTAATGTGTTCCATAACGTTTTGGATGATTAAATGAGTCATTTTAGGTCGAACAAAGGTTTTCTCGGCCGCCCTGGTGGTCTGTAGGGGAAATACCGTACTTGCAATTGCAGGAGCCCTCGGCCCGCACCCACAGGCTCAAAAGTCTCGTGCATCGCGAGAGTCGGTCTTGCTTTACGGCGAGAACTGCTACACGCCCCCAGTGAAAGGCTTGGTCGTTGCTA